GATAAATGGGTACAGAAAATTGGGTTTTTATACACAGTGGTGTACTACTGTGCCATAAAGTTGAGCTTTGTAGGAAAATGGATGCACCTTGAAACCATAATGTTTAGTGAAATAAATCAGACTTTCAAATTTAAGTATCACATGGTTTCTCTTATATAAGAAACCCAAAGTATGAATAAAGAGCAAAATGAAAGACAGATAATAGATGGTAAAGAGATCTTTTTCAAATGGGAAGGGGGTCAAATAATGGGGGGGTGAAAAATGAATTAAAGTGTGGTTCACGTGCACCAACCCTCACAAGGAATGTAAACACTGTGAACTGCAAACATGGACTGATAAAAAGAAAAACTAATACACTCGGGGCTGCTAGGCATGGGAGTCAGGGAGTGCAATCAGTGGACCCAAGCCCTGAAGAAGCCAGCCTGGATATGAATCTCAGTCCATCACGTACTGGCGCTGTCGCCTCAATGTTGTTATTAAGTCTTTCTGAGCCTCCCTTTTCTCGTCCATAAAATGGGGTTACAAATGCTAATATTTTCCGTGCACAGCTGCCCTAAGTACCAGGAAAACAGCGAGTGGATTCTCTTTCACGGCACTCAGTCCTGAGTAGAAACTCAGCAAAGCGTAGTTGCAGCGCTTATCATGGCGACCTATCTTGTAGGCTTCGGTTTATTCCTCACCGTGTTTGTTACACATTCCAGTTTGAAGATCGCTCTCTTCGATAAAGGGTGAAGCCAAATAATTGAGCAGGTCTGCTTTCCGTCCTATGTTAACATTATTCCATCTGCCCCGAGCGATGAGCTTAGCCTCTACTTGTTCCTCTTGCTTTGAACGCGGCTTTGAAGGGCACCATTCTTTTGTCTTCAGCGTTCTCTCCATCGTCAGCTCCGTCTGAACTTGAGATCGGCAGGTATTTCCTCTCGGGTTTATGCGGCTCTTCTGAATTCGCCCTTGATCATATGCTTGTCTTTTAATCTTCTGTGCATGTTCTCTTAATACCCAAGCCCATCAAAAAGTTCCTTGTTTTTAAATTGGTTCCTTCCCTGTTTCTTCCTTATCCAAATATACTGTGATTTTTTTTCTGTCAAAAATTTATTTTTTCTTTATTTCTCTCTACAGTATTTCTTTTGCTCTTTTTGTACCACCTTCCAAGTTCCCAGACCCATCTTTTCTCTGAAGTATACTTTCCAAAAATCACCATCACTATTCGGTTATGTCCTTCTTTCTTTCCTTCCTTCTCTTTTTCTTTTTTTTAAGGTACCAAATAATACTGTATGATTTTTCCCTCCCAAGGATTTCATCAGTCCTACCTAGATAAACAGTTTTTTGAGGTGACTGGAACTATGTTCAGAATGTACTTCCATCTCATTGCTTCCTCATTCTGGTTTAAAAACAAAGAAAATGACAAAACACTTTCTGCTTTCTATGAATTGAAACGTGTATCAGACACTGGAGAGAATTAGAAATCCTCATCCATGACTATCTTGTCTCCGGCAATCCTGACATTTGGCTGAATCTAACTCTGTGCAGCATCGGAAACCAGTGAAGTTCAGCTTAATCATTTAATAACACAGCCTACTTAATAGTGTTATTTAAAATGTTTGGGGGGAAAAAATAAAAAATAAAATGTTTTGGGCTCACTGACGAGAACAACCTGTGCTTCAAGTCATGACAGTTCACAGTCACAATTTCTTTTTTTAAAAAAGCTTTAATTTATTTTTAATTGACAGATAGCAATTGTACAAATTTATGGGAAATGATGCAGTGTTTCAATGTGTTTATACATTGTGGAATGATCAAATCAGGCTAATTAAACATTTCCTTGGTTTCAAGTATTTATCTTTGTGGTAAAAACATTTAAAAAAGACTCTCTTTTAGCTCTTTTGAAATGTACAATATATTACAGAGTCACAGTTTCTAAAGGGGTCGGGCACAAGGATGAAAGTTTACAACCCCGACTCAGGGAGCCATGCAAACACCTGTCTATTACATTCTGAAGCCCTGGGAGTTCATGGCTGTTTCCAGAATCCTAATGCAAGAACACAAAAAGGAATTCTAATGTGCCATAACCTGATTATCTTTCAAATGTATTCAGGAGAAACAAGCCAAAACCAAACAGAAACACTGTGTGGCTATGTGTAGAAATAAAGAACAATTTTAATTGTACTGCAGTTTAGCATGCCAAAATGTATCCTTTTTTATTGAATGAGAGGAAATTCTACCAGAGCAGGGCTACATTTCAATAGTCAGCTAAACACACTGAAATTTACCCAAAAACCTACATATTGATATACTCAAAGGAAAATCTCTAAGTCTGGTAAGTGTAACTAAGCTTAATTCCTAGTCAGCCACAGCCCTTAGACTAAGAATAGCAATAAACACAAAAATATCCACCACTTGTCATTTAACCAGTGCACGTGTGCCAAAATCGCTCCCTTCCTCTCCCTTGCACTGAATCATCCACCACATTTTCTCTCAAAATAAAATCAGAGGAAAAGCTACTTCTTAAGAAAGGTTTAAAAGTGCTTAAAATTTCTGTCTGTATCCTAATTAAGCACAAAGGCTCATTGTTTATTATCCACGGTATATCCTTAAATGAATTTTTCAAGGAATAAACCCTTCTGGAGTAATGAATCAAATACAGAGAAAAAGACCTCTGCCTGGTCCAGAATAACTTGGCGATGAGGTCGCTACTGAGCCACACAACTGCTGTCCCGGGCTTCTAAAGTAAACTGCTGGCCACGGAGCAGTGGCCTCTTCCAAATCATTAACCTTCAGATGAAGCCATGGAGGCCGCAGTTCTTCCTAAAGTTAAAAATCTCAGACCTGAAAGCAATGGAGGATGTTTTAGATGTCACCATTTTATCTGACCTGGGCTACAGAGCCACAGAGGTGAGAAAAAGGAGAAATAAGCAGTGTTTAAAAAGCTGCACTCACAAGGGAAAATGGGCTTTGGCAGAAAGCTGGGTTCATTTCCCTCTGTTGGTGTACACTGCAAGATTAACCTCGTTCCTTTGAGCTACGTTTTATTCATCAACGCAACTCAGAGTCCACTTAAAATACTAACTTCCTTTTAAACATCCTTATGATATTTACTAGCAAACATATCCCAAGAGAACAGTTACTTCCACTATGCAGAAAAAGCTTAACTGCTGAATTTAAGACTGATGGCTGTTATTCACCGTCTGTGACCCTGAGTCTCCCTCTTTTTTTCCTTGACTGGGCAGCTGAGCTCAGCTTCCTCTCTCTGACCTTCCTTTTCCAAATGCTGGAGCACAGCAGGCATTTCTGGGTCAGCAAAGGAAACTATCCCTGCCTTTCAGAACAGTCTCTTCTGTGTATTCGAAGGACTGAGCAAGAAAAAGGAGCTGTAATCCAGTGTACTGTGACCCTGATTAGGGCTCGGCATAAAGAGGCTCAACTCTCTACTCTGCTGGGGGTCGGGGGACCCGCGCTTCAGCCCTGTAGCTGACTGTCACCAGCCATCTGACCACGAGGCTCAGCCTAGCCCAAAAGAATGCCTGCCCCATCCAAACTCCCTGCCACGCTGGCCGCCACTGTCTTCCTGCCTGCCTCACAAACCCGTGAGGACGCCTGGTTCTCATCCTTTCCCTCCCCTCCTGTGTATTCGGCCACAACTTTCTTTTAAGTTTTATTGGCCTGAAATTCACACACATAAAACTCACCCATTTTAAGTGTGCAATTCGATGGTTTTTAGTATGTTCAGAGTTGTGCAACCATCGCCACAAACTAATTTTAGGACATTCTATTACCACCAAAAGAAAACCAATGCCTATTAGCAGTCACTTCCTGGCCCTAGCCCTACCCCATTCCCAGCGCTAAGCAACCACTAATCTACTTTCGCTCTCTATGGATTTGCCTATTCTACACATTTCACATAAGTGAGGGTGGTGTTTTGTAGTTGGCTTTTTAACTTGGAACAGTGTTTTCAAAGTGCATTCACACCTTAGTTTTTATTGCTGCCTAATATTCTACTGTGTGTGGAAAACATAAATGTTTATCCACTCGACATCTGACGGACCGGACCTATGGGTTGTTGCTACTTCCATCTACCATGACCAACACTGCTGTGTATAAGTTCTTATGTGATCACATGTTTCCATGGATCCTAATTTTTTCCACCCTCTTTCTTCTTTGTTTCCCCCCGCCCCTCTGGCCTTAAATTCAGGACTTTCAGAAGAAAGGTTTTCTTGGTAAACATTCGTTCACATACACTGTGGACAGAATGAAAATAATGCCCCTCTGGCCTTAAATTCAGGACTGTCTTTCAGAAGAAAGGTTTTCTTGGTAAACATTCGTTCACATACACTGTGGACAGAATGAAAATAGGTACAACCTTCTGGAGGACAATTCTACCAAAATTTTAAACACATGTACTTTAGGACCCCAGAATTCAATTGCAGGTCCAATAAATACAATCAAATCCAATACATATTATACAGGCTTGAAGATGACTACAAGGCTGTTCTCTGCAGCACAACATATAATAAACAGCAAAGAATAAGAAAATAAACTTAAAGATTATTCGGTAAGAATCACTTAGGAACCAGGCCCACCTGTACTCACTCAGGGAGGCTAAGGCAGGAGATGTGCAAGTTCAAGCTTGGCCTGGGCAACTTAGCAACTTAGTGGGACCCAGTCTCAAGATAAAACATAAAAAAGGGGTGGGGATGTAGCTCAATGTGAAGGCCCTAGGTTCAATCGACAGTACTACAAAAAGAAGACGAAGAGAAGAGGAGGAGAAGGGGAGGAGGAGGAGGAGGAGGAAAGAGGAAAAAGGAGAAAGAGGAGGAAGAGGAAGGGGAAGGAAGGAAGGTAAGTCATGAAGATTACAGTGGACTACCAATCTGCTGATTAAAAAATAATAAGACACAACTAAGTATTAGTATAACAAGCTATCCCACACATTAATTAAAGAAAGCGAGCCACGTAGAAACACATACACTACATCACCATCACCTTGTTCCCCACCCTTTGCTATGGCTGAAGAGCTCTCCAAGGCCATTTCCTACACCAAAGATGATTTCTACTGTCCAGTCTGTCAGGAGGTGCTCAAAATGCCGGTGCAGACCTCGGCCTGTCAGCTCGTTTCCTGTAGAAAATGTTTCCTGACTGCAACAAGAGGAAGTGGAATACACTGTCCCTTGTGTTGTGGAAATGTGACTAGAAGAGAAAGAGCGTGCCCAGAACGGGCCTTAGAGCTTGAAAACATCATGTGCACGTTTTCTGGTAGCTGCAGATCCTGTGCAAAACACATGCAGTTTTATCATACGAGACATTGTTACAAATACAGCATCTCTGCTATCATTCCAAATTTTCAGATTTTTCAAGATTCTGTGGGGAAGAGTAATAGGAGTGAAACATCCACATCTGATAATACAGACACTTAACAAGAGAATACAAGTTCTTCTGGGCATCCCACCTGTAAGTGTCACTTGGGTCAAGAGTCTAGACAGCACTTACTGGGCCACTGTAATAGTAACCACCTATTTCCGATGGTTCCTGTGAATCTTCAGCTAGATGAGGAAACCCAGTATCAAACTGCTGTTGAAGACTCTTTTCAAGTAAACATCTAAAGTCTGAAGACATCTCTGCGTCTTTGTGCCTGTAAGTGCCACGTTTAAGGGGAAAACTACATGAAGTCATCATTTCAATAGCTCAATGTGTACATTAATAAAAGTAATTCAGTCTATTTGTTTTTCAGTTGAAAAATACAAGTGGGTCACCTAAAATTTTTACTTCATCCTCTTGACAAGTTAAAAAATTGAAAGCTATAATATTACTTTAAAAGCATGAAAAAGGTTGTACTTTATCTTTTTTTATATTAGTATGATTGGATTTTCATTATTTTGTTGCTTTTGAAATCTGGTGCCCTTCCCCCTTTTACTTTTTGTACACAAGTAACACAGTAGCAAACTCCAAAAGATACAATTCACGTAAACCTCACAAATCTGAGACAGTTGCCGGAGTTGCAAAATGGAACCCTGAAGTGCTAAATGGAATGATCCAAAGGAAGTTTTGGAAAATACATTCTAGCCGAAGGATCCAACTATGAGAAAACTGTATTTATATAACACTTAGTATTTTTAAAACTAATGAGAATTTTTTTTTAGTAATTAAATTTTAAAAACCGAAAGGTCATTTTAAAGATGTTCTTGTTGCTATTAGGAGGATATGTCAAGATAAAAATGGATTTCTTTTATGGGCAGCTGGTCATTTCAGTCTTGTTTGACAAATCTATAAGCCTGATACATACCAAGCTAAGTAACAGTTCTTTGGCCTCGGAACTTTCAATAGCCAGTGTTTCTCAATAGCTAAGATGAAACTTACAGGAGAAACTTTTAGGTGGTAAAATATTCTACAGAGAAATAAGATGTTCAAAGAAACGCATTCAGAGCTAAAGACACATACGCATACATTTTTGTATGTGTACATATATACATTACATATACATCTTTGCATGCAATTTGTCGGGTTATATATAAGATTTCTATTAAGGATTTTAAAAATCAAAAAGCAATATAAGATTGAAATGTTTATCTGTTTTGATTAAAATTTTATGTCACTGAATTTTTAAAATCTAACAAATGTTAAATGAAATAGTTGGCTGCTATTACATCTTTATTGAGCGTACACACAGTTATCTGTATATGGTGCTCATTTGTTACTCTCAAAAATAATGTGCAAGTGGTAGATTTTCACTCACCACTAGTTCACTACTTCTTAGTCAAAATGAGATTTGTTCGTAGTATTCAGTAATGGGAATCCCAAAGTATTTTGTAGAAGGGTCAAATTATGGAATAAAGGATGAAGAATGGATTTGCTGATATTCCATACTAATATAGAATGTTTACACTTTCTTAAAAATAACTAAAAGATAGCCAGGTGTGGTGGTGTAATCCCTGCACTTGGGAGGCTGAGGCAGGATGATTGCTGAGTTCGAGACCAGCCTGGGCTACGTAGTGAGTTCCAGGTCAGTCTCAACTACATAATGAGACCCAGTCTCAAAAAAACAAACAAAAAAAAACCTAAAAGAACATAAGAAAATCTCAGAAGTAGTTTGTTGCTAATATATACATATACTGTAATAAAAAGATACATTTTGGTTCTCTTAAAACCCTTGTTGACTTTTCTACAGTGAACATTTTTTAAAATTTGAATAAAAGTGTTACTTTTGGGGAAAAATACATAAACTAAATGAGTCTACTTATATTTAAAAAGTATATGCTTGAATGTCCGTTTAAAATGTCTACAAAAGGGTGGGGATTTAGCTCAGTGGTTCTGCCGTCTGCCTGACAAGCGCAAGGACCCGAGTTCAATGCCCAGTACCAAAAAAAAAAATTTTTTTAATGTCTACAGGCCCAGTGATTTAGCTCAGAAGTTCCACTGCCTGCCTTGCAAACACAAGGTCCCAAATTCGATCCCCAGTACCTAAATAAATAAAATGTCTACAAAGACACAATTTTTTAAAATGAGGATTCAAAATTTGATGGAAAGGGACAATTGCTTTATATTTTGTACTTTCAGTATTTTATATACCTTTTCCACAGTAACTAAATTATGAGCATGAGAACATTTTTAGAATTTAAAAAGGTGTTGTTTAAAATAATACAAATACTACTAAAAGGATGCCCTACTGTGAATGAGCCATGGGAGGGTGCGAGAAAATGAACAGCACGGAGAGAAAAGCCACACGGGAGAGGAGCAGGGAGTGCTGGAGACATTCATGTTTCCTCATTGATTCCTGCAGCCCAGATTCCAGTCCCAGCGTGGAAAGCACCACAGGACTCTGACACCACATTCCCAGAAAGGCAATGCAGTTCTAAAGGAGAGGAGACCTCAGACCAGCCCGTTCTCACCGGGCCGACAGGACAAGAGTAGAAGGTTGTGCCCCCCACTGTGTGGCCCATGGAGCTTCTACACAATCCAAGGTGCCCGCCAGAGAACCCCAGGGGGCTGCAAGGCTTTCCCAAATGGCAGGGCCAGAAGCCGGGATCCCTGAATGTCCGCATGGAACAGAGCCCTCCCTACTCACATCCAGCAAGAAACAGCCTGAGTGAAGCCACTGAGATGTGCAGAGACTTCAGCATGCTTGGGCAGGTATTTTGTGTGTTTGCTATGCACACCCACAATCAGCCAAGGCTATCCACACCAACGACTCAATTGCAAGTATATACACATGTCTAGGGAACTCTGACGTGTGTGGTACTCTGTACATAGTACCACGTTTAAACTTTCTAACAGCCATTCCTAGCTCTATTTTACAGGTGTGGAAACCAAACCTCAGAGGAGAGTGACCAGCTCAATGTCACACAGCTTCCAATTGGCACAGGCAAGATCTGAAGCCATGGATTTCTGACTCCAAGGTTCATCTTCTCTGTTCTCTGGGACACCAGGACTCTCCCTGCTAACAGTTCCCGCAGGGGCTACTCCGGCATACATAAATGTGGTCCTGAGAAGCAGCAGAGCCATGCCAAGGCCTGTCTAGAAAACCAGCGGGAAGGGAAGGCAGGAAACTGGTTCTGCTGCAGTCAAGGACCTCACTCTGCCTGTGGCTGTGGAAGATGAAAATTCCCACTCACACCACACCGTCAGAAATATCAATAATGTGCTCTAGGAAACAAGCAGGAGATGACTACACCATTTTAATTTTCCCTTAAAAGAGTCAATCTAACATCATTATGAGTGACACTTAAATGCTAATTGAAAAAGCATGTTCTCCTGTCTCTAGACAAGTATTTGCATGTTAATTGATTCTGGGGATAAGAAGACCAGCTTCCACTATGAGGTGTCAGAAGGAGAGAAGAAGATAAAAGGTTATGGCAAAGACATAATTAAATTACTTGGCTTCAAGAGTTCCAAAAAGAAATAAGTTATCCTTTGGGATGCAAATTCATACTGCCTCTTTCACGAAGAGTGCATTTTAATGAAAGGTCCAAAACACAGATTTCCAACTTCAATACTCTTTTAATGGAGTACCTTCATACAGATCAAAATGACTTTTACCTGAATGGTGGCTAACAAGCTCATAAAGGCTGTCGATAGGGGAGACAGAAGCCTGCTTCCCTCAAACCTAATAAACTACAAACACACTGAATAATCGCAAACAACATCAACTTCATTTTTTAAACAACAAACCATTTCTTTCTAAAGGGGTCATGCAAATTAGTACAAACCCACAAACTATAGAACCAGGAAGATGTTTGCTAAGACGAATGTTTTATAAATTAGGTTACCTCAAAAGATAATTTTAGTAAGGTAAACATTCAACTTGCTACACTCTCACACCATGCTTATTAGGATTATAATTTGTATTGCACAAATTTTACTGTTCGCAATGCTTTTCTCAGCCCTGGGAGATAAATGAATATAAGTTTATCTGCTATACAGATGAGGAAATTAAACCTCAGAAAGAATACGTGGCTTAATCAAGATCACTGAGGTAAAAAGCAGTAGGATCATGTCTAGAACCATCTCCTAATTCCAATGATCTTCTCATGCTACTATATTGTCTTTTTTCTTCTATTTTATTCAAATGCTGATAGTCTCTGACAATAGCACATTACTACTATGATACCGCAAAGAGTTCATAGGACATGAATACCTGGGATTCGAATACGCACAATTTGAATGGGTTAAATGGGGTTTTCTTTTTTTACTCTTCTGCAAAAGCCCACTCGAGTAACAAAAGTACACTAGTTAACCCATTTACCATACAGACTTATGTTCTGTAATATATGTGATGAAGGATTATTGTCTATATAAAGAGCAGCACTAATTAAATAAGAAAAAGGGCAAAAATGAGCAAAAGCTATGAACAAGCTATTCATAAAAGAGTTTCAAATAGTCAAATGAAAATTTCTCTAATCTCACTAGTAATACAAAATTCAAGTTGAAAATTTTTTTTCCTGTTAAATTGGAAAATACTGAAAAAAAATTACTTGATTCTCTGGATTCACAGAAATGGAGCCTACTGTAACCCTGAATAGAATTTAAAATGACACAATTCAAAGAGGAAGATGAAGATGCATGCTTATGATTCAGAAATTCCAGTTTCAGGGGTTAATTTTAAGAAGATAGAAAGAAACTAAAAATATCTATATGTGAATATGCACAAACACACTGCTTCTAATAATGAAACAAGATTGGAACAACCTAAGTTCACAATGCAAAAAAACATAAATTTTGGTATGTATACCATATCCTGCAGCATGGAAAACAATAATGTTAAAAGCTAGTTGTGGTGGCACATGCATGTGCTCCCAGACAGAAGGATCACTGTAAGTTCAAGGCCAGCCTGTGCTACACTGTGAGTTCAACGCCACCCTGGAATACATAGAGAAATTCTATACTGAAAAAACAAACAAAAAATTACGTTGAAACTAAATAACTAAAATATAAACAACAGGTAAATTAAACAAGACCCAATTAAATGTACTTGAGCTAAAGACTCAATACTATCGGGCTGGGGATTTATCTCAGTGGTGCAGCACCTGCCTTGCAAGCGCAAGGTCATGAGTTCAATCCTGGTACCCCCCCAAAAGACTCAATACTATAAAGATATATATTCTCCTCT